AAGAGCAGGGGCTGGGCTATCTCAGGATTTGACAGATCCACATGTTCTCTTTCAGTTAATTCTAAAATGCTGTTGTAGGAATATTTCTGAAAGAGTTGTTCTATTTCTTTACATTTGTCTCTAAACACTGGCTCGGATTTCAGCAAGGTCCCAAATGTCCCTTTCAAGTTCAAGCCATTTCCAGGGAACACAAATATTATTTGTGGAGTCTTGCTTGATGGAGCTTTTGCTGTTTCAACTGTAGAAGGAAGTTGTTGTTCTAAGTGCTGGAGAGATGACACCACAAATGCCTTTCGGTATTTGTGGTTTAAGTGGCTTCTTCTACATGCAGATGTGTAGGCCAGATTTGGAAGCGTTACTGAGTTATTTGTATTTAGATATCTAGCTGTGTCTTCCCCTGTCAGTTTGAGAGAATTACCTGAAGCTGCAGAGATTACAAAGAGCTCGACAGGCCTGTGGACTGAAGGGAGAAGTTCGGTTTGCTTTGCCTGTCTGACAACCACATGAGCATTGGTGCCTCCAAATCCAAAACAGTTGATCCCAGCTACTCTGCCATATTCATGGGACTCATCCCACTTTTCCACTGTTGTTGGGATGGAGAGGTTTAGCTTCTCTGTATCGATGCTGCTATTGCTTTCTGAATAGTGCAAGGACGGCACAATCTTTCCATGGTGCATCATGAGAAGAACTTTGATTACTCCTGCTGCCCCAGCGGCTGACTCAGTGTGTCCAATGTTCCCTTTGATGGAGCCAACCTTGAGAGGAGGCAGATTAGGAGACCTCTTTTTGCCGATGACATTGCCGATGCTCTCTGCTTCAGTGGAATCTCCTGCAGGGGTTCCCGTGCCGTGTGCTTCAACGTACTGCACAGTGGATGGGTCAACAAGAGCTGGATAAATGCCAAGCAATAAGTTCTCCTGTTGCTGCTGAGACGGCCTGGTGATCGGAGTGACAGATCTTCCATTCTGGTTGACTGCACAGCTGGTGATAACTCCCCATATTCTGTTGTACTCTTCTTGTGCCTGATTTAGAAGAAAGAGAAAGAGGTAACATTTCCTAAGGTTGTGAAAAAATTAAAAAGGCCAACATAGCACATGAAAGCATCTCAGTTAAAAATGCTTCATTTTTTAAATTTTCTTTTAAAGAAAGTTGCCCATGGATCCATCCTGCAAACTTCAACTGTTAACTAGACAAAATTAGGCATATGTATCTTGTACAATCCCTGAGTTACAAGTTAAGCATTTATGGTAGTCCTTTTGTCAATAACATAACAAATCATTTCCTGTTATGTTCTATAATCATACCTTCTTCAGCGGTTTCAGCAAAAGAACACCACAGCCTTCCCCTCTTCCATAGCCATCTGCTTTTTTAGAAAAAGGTTTGCTGATTCCTTCAGGAGAAATCATTTTTGCTTTGGAAAGGTTGATAAAAGCCTGAGGTTCTATGATGCAGTTCACTCCTCCACAAAGAGCAGCTTCACAGTCTCCTATTGGATAAATTAGAGAATGGATTTTTGTTCAATATGACTGTCAATATTTGGCTTCCCAGAAAGAATGCATAAGGCTTTCATTTAAAAAAATCTTTCTTACAATCATTTAAAGACCATAATAAATCCTCTATCATTCTTTCACAACTGTAGAGCTAAATCTTCCTCAATTTGATGTTAATGTAATTAATGATTATGATTTTTATACCTTAGCACTCATGGTTGGCTTCCTACAAGCTGACCATTCCTTAGAGCTAGTTTCTGAGGCTCACAATGGTTGCCTGCATCATCTATGAAGCAACATCACCCAGTTACAAATGTTGTTACCTTGTCTGCCCTGACATAATATCACAGATTCACAATGGGCATAATTCAAGGAAAAGAACCAAAGAGATCCAAGGATGAATACTTGTGGAATAGCTGTCCTATTCCTAGGTGCCTGTAACTTTCAGAGTTGATCATGCCTGTACAATATACGTACTTTTAGTGTTTGTCAGAAATAAACTTTATGGTGCAACCAGTACTTTACAGTGAAATCTGGCTTGTAATTAGTGTCATTAAATAGGAGAGACAGTATGGTATAATGGTCACCCTTAGTATAGTACTAGGATCATATCCCCACTTAGGCATGAGGGTGGTCTTCGGCCAGTCACTGTGCCTCAACCTAACCTTCCTCACATGGTTTTTGGCAAGCCTAAACCAAAGTGCAGGAGAGACAATTATATACAACATTTTAACCTTCTTGATGTAAATATTGCATATAAATAAAATCAATATGTATAAATAGATTCCATGATCTACCTTGTTTAATTGCATGCAAGGCAAAGTGCAATGCATAATGAAATGAGGAGCAGGCTGTGTCGATGGCAACTGATGGTCCAGTCAGATTAAATGTATACGAAATCCTGTTTGCAGCTATGCTCATCGCTTGCCCAGTGCCATCATAATGGTTGATGTCGCCAATGTTCCTGCTTGCTATTTGTGTATAGTCTCGATTCATCATGCCTGTGAAAACAGTAGATGTTATATGTTATCAATATAATACGTGACATTAGTGAGAAGGCTATTTAGTCTGAAAAATATGATTGCATTAAGTGCTCAGTATCTGTGAGATACAACATGCCACTGACATAGGAACAATTTAAAATAAATGATTTTCATTTAGAAATACAATTTGCTAATATACATTGATGAGCCTGTTCTACTGGTCAGCTAAACAGAGACTAAGCCTGGAGTTAATTTGCCTCTACCATAAATGCATTTGTGGCTTTGAGCAAGTCACTAGTTATCACAGAATCCTAGAATAGTAGAGTTGGAAGAGGCCTAGAAGGCCATTGAGTCTAACCCTCTGCTCCTGGATGGGCCTTAACCAGCGCTCTCCTATGTGTAAAAATGGAAAATTTTTACAGGGTTCTTGTGAAAATACTGAAGTAAGGAGTGCAAATTGCTTTATAGAATTAATGACTAATGCTATAACAAGCATTTTATTCATCAGTTAAATGCTGGCTAAATCAAGCACATGACTATCATGTTAATTAGACTACTACCATATCACTACTCTATTTTTTGAAATTAATAACAATACAAATACCAAAACAATAACAACCCCCTCTCAAAAAAAAAAAAAAAAAAAAAAAAAGCCTACAGACACAACTAGTGCATCCCCCCACCAGGACCTTGGCTACATAATTGTTCAATAGGCTTAGGTATGATGAGCCCAAAGCCCAATTTTGTCATATGAATTTATTCCATTTCACTCTGTCTGGGCTTAAGTTTATTTGGATGTATTCACAAGACTGCATCAATACACTGCAATCACAGCAAAATTCACACTTGTTGATGAATACCTTTAAAAAGTATAAATGAGTCCTAGATGTTTTAGTTTATATAATTAAAATAATTATTTTAAACATTAGCCAATTGTCTCACCAACAAAAACCGCTGTTTTGGAGCCACTAATATTTTCCCTAGTGACTCCTGCATCTTCCAGTGCTCGATAGGAACATTCCAGGAGTAATTTCTGCTGGGGATCCATATGTTCAGCTTCCATATCATTAATTCCAAAAAATCTGTTGTCAAATGTGTTAAACCTATGAAACAGAAATCAAATAATACAATTATGAATAAAAATTATACTAATGTATTACCACTTTATTTGTAAGGTAATATAATATTTTGACTACTGACATAAAGTTTTCCAGTAATCATTTTGAGATAAAGTTTCTGCTGCAGGAAATTTGTTATTTGTTTGTGAAATGTGAATGAAAGTGGCAGAAAAATGAAAACCTCTGTCTTAGTGATTTAGGATACTGAAGACAAATGCATACAGCTGACTGCAAATATATGAATTACAACTTGGATCAATGTACTGTGAGTAGATGGAGAAATATTCAGATAGCTCTTGTATAAACACTTGCTATGCCACAGTGTATCTGTGGCTGTGGTACAGTACACAAATAGGATGAATCACTCAGCCTGTAAACCAGTTGTTACTGAACCTGGTGCCTTTCAGATGTGTTGGACTGCAACTCCTTGCATGTTCTATCCAACACATCTTGCATTATATTACAACATTTCTAAGGGACATCAGACTATGAAAGGCTTCTATTGACTATAAACACTAGCTGGCCATTAAAAAGTCTTGAAAACAATTTGCACAAATAAAATAATTTCTCTAATTGTCAGGAACTTTCTCACATAATGTGATATGTGTGAATGGATGACTTCTTTTCAGTCATAGACCAGTAAAATACAGCACAGGAATATTAACACAGATAGGTACAAAAATACATTAACACAGGACACCTATAAAAGGAAGTAATTAAAATATCAAAATACTTAAACTACAATAAGATCAATAAGTACAGTAAAAATTAAATTTTACATAGAATAGCTACAATAGCCTAGTTTCAATCCATGTGGACCTACGCCAACTGCACATGTGATGTGTGTAATAATAGTGACCATGTGGTGTAGTGGTTAAGAGTGCAAGACTGGAACTCGAAAGATCTGGGTTCTAGTCCTCATTCAGCCATGGAGCCAACTGGGTGACTTTGGGTCAGTCATAGACTTCAAGCCAAAGTGACCACCCAGGACTATTGCTGTGGGGATAAGATTGAGAACAGTAGGAGGAGAATGATGTAAGCTGTTTTGAGTTCTTGTAAGAAAAAAGGTGGGATATAAAACTAATTGGTAGGTAGGTTGGTAGGTAGGTTGATAGATGAGAGAGAGAGAGAGAGAGAGAGAGAGAGAGAGAGAGAGAGAGAGAGAGTTCTTCTGATTGGGAATGAAGAACTTTGGCCCAGGTCATCCTTTGACTCCAATTCCCATCAGTATCAGCCAGTGGATAATGAGGGCTGAGCCCAAAAACATATGGAAAACCACCCTTTCCCATCCCTGAACTGATTTATATACCTTCCTTTCAAGAATGAGGCAACTTTCCACTAGTGGAAGAACCCCTTTTGATCTAAGCAATAACATTCCATGCACTTGAATCTTACTAAAGATCTTACGAAGAGTCTTGCTGAATGAGGCCAAGGGTGCATCTAGTCTAGCATCCTATTTCCAACAGTGGTCTGCAGTATGGTTTGAAAAACTCATAAGGAGGACATTCCTTTAAAATACCTTTTATACATGCTCAACACTTATAAGAATAAGGATATCCTTTTATAACAACATGTTTTAACATTGTTTGGGCTTCTGTTTGGTTGGAACTGCATCAGAGGGAACCACATTCATTTTCCAACTTGATGATCTGAATAATAGTTAAGACTTACTCTTTGAGAAAAGCTGCATGTCTTGTGCCTGTTTTACTTGGTTTGCTGCTGTCTGAATCATACCAATCTTTAATGTCAAATCTTTCAGGAGGTATTTCTTCAGCACAGTTTCTGCCTTCTATCAGAACATGCCAGAAATTATCAATTCCTTCACCTGTTGCAAAATATTATTTTTAAAAAATAGAATTAATCTCTGAGGTTTATATTTCCAGAATAAGAGCTTTAACCATTTTGATATGATTAACCTGAATGAACTATAGTGGAAGCAATAAGGCAAGAAAAGAATGACAAATTTCAAAGAATGTCAAATGAATAAATTATCATTTGGTAATGAAATCACATTTTATAACTCAAAAAAACAGATATAGTTTTTACTGTGTCAGCAGTTTGCCTCTTTCACAAAATTTTATGAGTGTGGATAGACAATTTAATTTGTAATCCTCATAAGTTTCCCCACTGCTTCTTCCATCTTTTTTTCTTTCTGCGGGAAATTGATTTAGAAAGAAATAGAACAGTGCACAAGACCTTTTAATTGGTACTGCACCGGGAGCCCTCCTTCTGGAACCACCCTTAATTTTCTTTTCTACCACCTAACACTTTATAATATGGCTTAGGCTTTTTCTCATGTCAATGAAGCAAAGTAATTTCAGTGAAAATTTCATGTGCTTATTGGCTTCACTGGAATTTGTGTCTTCAGCAGCATAGAAAAAGTCACTGAAAAGTAAGTAATTGTCCTTTAAAACCAATACTTCAGCATGGACTTGAAGACTGTAAAAAAGTAATGTTAAGTAATGCTTTCTACAGGCTTGATGAAAAGTTCTTTGATTTTTGCCTTTGCCATACACAGAATAATTGCAGACACTGTTTTCTCTAAAGCTTTTATGAAGCAGCTGTTCTTAAAGTTCTAAAATATGAGTGCCTTCCTCAATAACAGTTTAATGATCTGTAAATAGCTGGAACTTGGTAAAACAAAGAGTAAATTATTTTTTTCCTGTAATATTTTAGTTACCATTGAATATCACTCACCTCCAGGAAAATTACATCCAATCCCCACAATGGCAATTTCATCCTTGGTTTCCATCATTGTTCACGTTTATGCTAAAAATGAAATTATATTTTAATGAGTCCACATCTAATAGTAAACACATATTTCCCAAAAGAGGGTGGAGACCAACTAGACTAGAGGAACATGAGGGCTATGAAGGGGAAGCACAGGAAGGAATTTATTGAAAAGCCTATAATTCCTCTGGAACTTTGTGAAACTACCTGTAATTGGTTTCATTAATGTCAAGGGCATTCCGGAAATTCAGAGCATTCATCATTTTCTGTCCTTTTAAACAGAAGCCGACACATCCTGATTCGTACTTGGATCATGAACCTTTTTATTTCCCCTATGTTTTAAGATTTGACTGGTACTTTTAATATGGTTTTTATTGTTGATTGGTTAAGAATTTGATTAGGATGCTGTGTTTTATTTTATTTTTGTCTTACTGTTAAACCATCCCAAGACTATGGTAAGGAATGGTCTAAAAAAATTTAAATAAATGAATAAAGCATGGCATAATGGAGAGATTTAATCATTTCTCCATATGCCATTTTAGCCCTGAAAATTACCCCAAAAGAAAGGTGCAAATTACTGCAATGACGTATAGGCAGAGGAAGAGAGTGTGGTCAGAGGGGTCAGAATTGTTCTGGCACTGTAGAAATGAGCAGGAATGGTGTTTAATGTCATATCTGGCTAGGTATTTGTACATTTGTTTTAGCATGCTTCTGCAATAGTAGTTGTAATAATGCTGCTGTACCTTATAGGGCTAATTGGATGCCCAAACAATTAGTTTCTATGTCATTTCTAAGAAAGAAAAGCTCTTTTGACATCAAATCTCAATCCCCCCCCCCTCTCTCTCCCTCTCTCTCTCTCACACACACACAAGCACAGAAAATGCACATAATCATTAGAGTTGTCTCTATGATGGTTACACTGCAGTTTTGCATTTCCTATACTTGTACTTCAAATGTAATACCTGGACACACTATTTGATTTGATTTGATATTTGAGCTTTATATCTCACAATAAAACTATCACTCCCCTTAGGCAGAATATAGTACACAGCAGGGTTTTTCAGAATTCCATTGGCAAGAGATGGAAGCATATACCTTACATCAAGAGTTTTCAGAATAATTATTCAGCAGATTAGCACAACACATTTAGTAGCAATCAGCTAATAAAAACACATGCAAAGCAGATTATACCTCTTCTGTGCAGATCACCTATTGCTGCTCTGTTTGTTGGCTCAGTGGTCCTTTTACCTAGTATCAGAGGTGCATCAGCTCTCCTAAGCAGCAGATGGACCGATACCCATAGTGGTGCCTGCTCTCTGGCTTTTGCAGCAATAGAGAGAGTGGAACCAAGTACTAAGAGACATAAGCTGTTTGGATGATGATCTCTTTCTGAGCCTGCACACGTCTCTAGCTCTCCTGACTGCATTTAGCCCTGGCTGGCTTTTAAAAGCAAACCATCCCGCAAGTTCAATTTCAGTGTGTGCAAGAACCCAATATGAGTCTTCCCTTTATGTTGTGACTGGTTTCATAAGGAGTTTAGCAAGATGTCTGAGCAAGATAACCTGTTTGCGTCTGACGAAACTCCTGGAACACTTGGTATTTCCACAGGCTGTGATGGTTTACATCATACTTATCGTATCCATTTCTCATCTTTGGGCATTTCAGTTACACTCTTCAAGTTATTTACAACAAATGCATGAATAAACAGTTTCAGGACATTAATATAGCTCTATCTGCTTTAAAGAGCAGGCATTATTTGCTAATTTACAGAAAGGTTCCAGTGTATCATCAAGGTGACTTTTCTCACAATCACTCCTATCTTCTGCCTCCCATAAAATGGGTTCAGTTGGTCTTCCTGCCCTGTCTGTTTGCAAGTGGGGAAATGATATCTATTCCACTTCTCTAAATCAGCCTCGTATGCACCTCTCTCCTCTGTTTCTCTCAAGAAATCATTATCAACAGCTCAAGCACAGGAAACGTTGGTGCTTGTGGGTTGCTTGTGGCTCCCATTCATTCCATTCAAGGCAGTGTGAATGGTTTGCATGCACAGGAACTAAAATTTCTCCTGCTGCCCAAAGCCCCACGAGACATACTATCACACTGTCTAATTTTGTCTAATTCCTAGACAAGTGAAATTTCTCTAATTAAACACTGCAAACATTGCTTCCTCTGTCATCCAACCCAGGGTGGCATGGATTATTTCCATGGTCAGGAATTCTCAAACCCTGGGCATCCACCCCAAACATGCCATCTGGGTAAATTCAGCAAGCCACATCTGTCATGAGTCATTATGCCACATGCCCTTTTTCTCAGGAAGCTGCCTGCCCTCTTTCCTTTCATCCTACAAGCGCTCCAGTCCAAGGGCCCCAGCTGTGAGTTGCTGGTTACTGGAGTGAGTTCAGGACAGGACCCTAAAACTGGGAAACAAGGGCAAAATGGTAGAAGACCCCCCACACACACACAAAAGGGGGAGATCAACAGAGGCCAACTGTAAGAGTACTTTGAAAAGAAAAATTGGGAAAACATGCTCATGCTTAATTCTCCAAAGACAGCAGACTTTTTTACATGCTTCATTGCTGAATTGAGATTTGAGCACTCTGAGGAGCTTTTCCTTTCCTGCTTTTCCACTACATAACCTTTGGGTAGCACTGTAGTGCAGCAGAATAGTGCAAATAAACAACTGGCAGTTGTGCATTTTGTTATCTGAAATAGCACTTCTTTCCACCTTCTGTTAAAAAAAGTCTCTGAAATTGCTGTTAACAAACAGAAGCAAAACTGGAAGGTTGCATTGTCATTGAAAGAACTTGTAAACAGGCCTAAGTTGTGAATAATTACATTCAACAAATGCTTTTCTCCTGCATGTGGGATGTTGATTGCTGTGAGATAGCATAGCTTTGGGGTAAAATCCTGCTTTAAACATGGGAGATGTGCAATGGCAATCATTAAAATAACCATAAGCAAAAAGCAAGGTCTGGAAGGCAGCAAGTTCAAGTTTACAAGTTCACATTCATTCATTCATTCATTCATTCATTCATTCAGTTTTGACCCCACTTCTCTGACAATCTGGAGCATTTTACAGTGATCTAATTAAAATTCAGTTGGGCCGCAACTGAAACAATTGACAATATCAGCCTAATGAATACCACCACCAGTGGAAAAACGGATCCATTCTCACACATCAAATCTCTTGCGTACACATAACTGCATAAAAATGAACAATTAAAAACATCAGGAGATTCTTCAAGAGTCTCCTATACTATATCTAGTTTGAGCTTGAAGAAGAGCAATGTGACACGTGTTGGTGGGGAGAGATGTTAATGCTAGTGATGCTATAGCATCACCTAACAGACATCCATGACACCAGCTGAGTCATCATCTTGTAGGTGACTGCAGTACTCTTTGCTAGGAGAAGAATCAAAAGTTTTATTTTACCATTTTATTGCTGGGAAGCAGTAATTTTTAGAGAACAGGAGAGTTTTTTGAGGAGCTCTTTTAGTGGTTTCATGGAGTGTGTGTTGCCGATCACTGATTAGGCCAATGATGCACACAGCACCCGAAACATGACATTAAAAACAGCTGCGCTATCTAGGAAAAGTGTAAAGGTATAAAATGTCATGCATGTATTGGAAGTTGACTTTTAATATCTTTAAGCACATATCTTGAGCAAAACAACAAAGCGTGCAGCTTGTCAAATCTTATTTGCTTTCCCAACACAGAGTCTGTCAGGTCTGTGATGAAAAAACAAAAACCAAACCAAAAACTAGAAGAAGAGGAAGAGGACAAAGAGGAAAACGAAGAAGACGATGAAGATGTTGACAATGACGATGATGAAACAACTCTAACAGAATATCTTCTGGTCAGGTTTTGAAAAGATAAGCCAACAATAAGCCACTTCCTATTTTTTCTTAGAATTGGTTAGACAACAGTGCATGTGGCAACTCAATATATAATCCATTCACAATAAAACTGTAAAGCAAGGAGCGTGGTTTGGCAAAAGGGAGGGTTTCCTGCTTCTGGAGCTCCTTCTTCTTCTCACCTGATGGTTGCCTTTAAGTCTTCAAGCACTGAGCAAATATATTTTTGCTTTCCCAGCTTTTGATTTTTGAAATAATTGTACTCTGCTGTGCAATTTTGGATTGAAAGGTAATGTAAAAATTTTTCAAATAAATAAGAACAATGCTGTGAGGAAAGACTTTTCCTTGTGAAAGTGTCCTGCAAAAATCCACACACCCACACAATCTTTGTGCCTGGTTTATTAGAGACAATAGGGAAGAGATGTGTATAAAGTTCAAACTCTGACATGTCAGATTAAGAGGGTGAGGGAATCTGAGACGTAAATCCCCCTGCCTGAGTTTCTTACAACCTGCCCCAGTGGGCAAAAGATCAGAAAATAGTCTGACCTGTTAGGTAACAACCTCCTGTGCTCCTAAGGGAAATGTTGTATGTACCTGCATATTTTCCTTATGGGACAAAAAGTAGCTAGATGAAGTCATACTTTTGTTACTTATTTTTTGGCAGGAATATACCACAAGACTCCTTTTCCAATTTAGCTTGTTGCTTCTATGCTTCCAATATAGCAGCTAGATTTTGGTAAAGGAAAATGTTTAAAGAAAAATGCCACCAGGCCTGCCCAAGCCTTTAGGCATACTTAAAGAATCTGTTTTGATACTAGACACAACTAGTAAAATATTAGCTTTAAATTAAAAAAAATCAGAAAGGGTTGAAGTAACTAAGTAAAGCAGAAATGCGCTATAATGGAAATTTCAGTACTTACACTAGCTAATGATTTGGTTTCCACTTCTGTTGTCCTCAGGCACACAGCTTTCTGATGTTTGTAGGCAAAAAGATGCAAAAGTACACTGAGTACACTGAAGCCTTGCGTGCTGGAATGTCTTCGAAGATTAGTTTAAAGTTGCTGCTGTTTTACTCCTGTCTTTTGGATGTGTGATGATTTGGATGACTCTGAACAGAGCTGCTAGGATTTCATCCATGCTTTGCTTATAAAGCCTTTGCTTTGGCTCATACATCCTACACAGGAGAAGCAGCTTCATTGCAGCATACTGGGAAATTCCTGCATGACTCAGCTATGATGTTTTTCTTGTCCTAAGGAAAAGCAGACCTCAAGCTTCACTAGAATGCTTCAGATGAACCACCATATTTTCACTGTTATTAAAATCACTGTATGCAGGGAAGATGTTTACCAGTTTCCAGTTCAAAGTTCCTTACTGATAAGAAGCAGAGCTCAGTCAGTAAACTGAGGAAGAATCTACACTTAATATACCCCTTCACCACAGCATATGCCTTGAGCTGCCATATATCTATATTTCCATGACTTTCCCCATGAATATAAACAAAGGTTATCTTCCATCAAAATCATATTCTTCTGCAGTACACATGAATGTGTGATGATCCTAAATATCATGTACAAATGAAGAAATAGAGCTATGACCCCACAATAAGTTTTGGGCTACCCCAAATGGCACATCCAAGCCAAACTCACTAGTCCAGGGGGTGTCCTGTAACAGATGACACAGATCCATGTCTGGCCCAAACTCTTCTTAAGGTGTGGGGCAAATGTGAGGGCCCCATGCCAATAACATCCAAAATAACCTTAACCCTAACTCAAATATGAGGAAATATTAAAGAAAAGTAAGGCTGAGTCTTCCCAAATCACAGTACCTCCTAAGTAATGGTATTTAATTGTGCCTGACCTAAAGTTATAGTGACTGCAAGGGACTATTAAGAGGGCAAGTCAAATTCAATTACATCCAAGATGTATATAAAGAATATGATCTCTAACTTAGATTTCAGCCACTTCTCACACCCACACATCTAAGAGATCTAACATATGTATAGTACTGAATCTCATCCAGGTACTGCTTTGTTTGGTCCCAGGTAGGGATGAGTGAGGAAGCTGTTCCTCTGAGCATTTTTAATTAATTGGCCTGATCTTCTTCAGCAAACTGTGGCAGAGCTGAGTTCCAAAATCTGCGTTCCAATGAATCTTTGTTGCCATTTGCTTGGGGAAGAAAGAGCACTTTTAGGAAAGCTGCACAAAGCATGCATTTGAGAAAAGTCTGCATAAAGCAGAATTTCAGCAGTGTAAACTACTTGGGAAGAATGTGTTTTTAAAATGCAGATGCAAATATATGCATTGATGCATACATTAAGGGAAAATGCACAACTTTTAATATAAAATTGAAGAAAAATTGTAAGCTAATGCAGAAACAGAATAAGATAAGCGTGACCCCAGAGAAAGAAAAACAGGGTCTGGTTATCTCAGGTGGCTGACATTGACAGCTCCATTCATTGATAAGCATAAGGCACTGTCAAAAGTAGCATCCTCTTGCCAAATATAGAAGTTTTATGCAGATAAGAATAAGGAGTTGGTGTCATGCACACCAAAATAAAATTTGGTCTACTCAAAATCATTTACCCACATGGGTCTCCAATGCCAATGATATCAAGAAATATGTAGCAAGCAGGAGGGAACTGGATATGTGCACTGAAAAATAAGATTCAGGTCACCACAACTAATACACCCACACATTCAGAAGTGCCAAGAGATGGCACTGAACTGAAGTGCTCATACAAACCCAGTCACTATTGACTAAACGGAGGCACTCAGCTACATTGCAGTTCTAGCGTACTTAGTAATAAAGTTGTTCTGTTAGGCATCCAGGATAACCTCTAAAATAACTTGGCATAATCCTCATCCCCTTTCCCACCTGACTCATTCACTCACTGAGCACCTCTGTTGTGGAATTCTTTTCCCAGTCCTAACATCTACCTGTCCCACAACTATTGTCTTTTGTTACCACCAGTAACTGTTAATTATTTCCCCAGGGAAAGGAGGAGATGCAAAGACATAAAATTGCAAGATGCCTGTTAAACCCACATCTAACTGTGCAAATAGAGAAGTTAATGTGAGTCACAGGGCAGGACTTTTTATCAAAACGTAGTGTCATATGTTGCAAAACTGTGGGGTTTGACTGATGTCTCAGCAGCAGAAAATTTTACAGTACTAATTTTCCTAAATACTGTTTTTAGCACATCCAAAAATACAGAACTTAGCAGAAAATTTTACAGTACTAATTTTCCCAAATACTGTTTCTGTTTTTAGCACATCCAAAATACAGAGCTCATGGCCAGATGGGGCTTCCTTAGGAATTGATGGAGCCAATTCATTGGCTTGAACTGGGCAAAAGAATTCCTGGTTATTTAAATATATGTAAATAAATAAATGCCCGTTCCCTGAACAAAGCAGGAAGCAAGAGCCCCCAGTGCTACCCCATCCAAAAGAGGCTGATTTCCAGGTCTTCGGATGTGAACAATGCTCATTAACCAGGACCACCGCTTTGACTGAGCTTCAGCTTACAGCTCTTACCCAGTCTATTACTACCCTTTGGCATTGACTGAATCCTTCAAAAGCCGTCCCAGAAGCAAATGAAAAGGTGGGGGGGGGGAGAGAGAGAGGTTCCTGGGAGCTTAATGGCTGGAAGAGGAACTAGACTGGTGAGTGTTCAAGATGCACCCATCTTTACTTTCCTGGTTCAGTCAATTAATACCCCCTGCCATAGCTCCTCCCACCATTTATGCTTAGGCTGGGCTTAGACTACCAGCAGCAGCTCCCTCATTGCATAGCCCCATCAATCAGTTCTACAGAAAACCTGAGATTAAGTGCTTAAATACAATAAAATGTGCAGAAGGACAGGGAATACTCACAACTTCTACATGTCAGTGGGGCTCCTTATCCATTGCAACATTTACTTTGAGCTTTATTGCATCTATCCATGGTGCTTCACACCTCTGCATTGGATCTAACCATGGTGGTTCACACCTCTTCCCACCATATAGCACCATGTAAGCTCCTATAAAGCTTAAAAGAAAAGCTGCAATGGATAAGGAGCTCCAGTGACATAGGGGTCACCTGCTCGCCTTGTTGCAGAAGAAAGACACCATAATAAAAACCAGATTTACAGTATATGCCTCTGAGAAGCTAAGGGTAACATTCAGCTTCACAGTTACTAAGTCACAGAACAGTAACCAATTTATCATTGTCACCAACATAAATTAGATTGTACCACTGTGAGTGTCCTCTAGAACAACAGATAAGTAGTTGTTGCAATAGGTTTTCTGGAGAAATTAATCATACTTTTACAAGTTGTAAGAATTAGGGCATTTGAAAAAAACAATATTATGTCTTAGCTCCCATTCCATCTATTGCTAAGTTAAAAAATAAAGTGGATAGGCCAGGAACGGTTGCATAATAGGGAAGTTTCCATTGCTATTTTCCAGGCCAAATCCTAGGACTCAGCCAAAACCTGAAGCCAAGAAACTGGTAGGGATTTTTGTTCTGTTCTAGTTCAACCTCTCCGTGCCTCTGTGACCTTTTTTCTTATTTCTTGTCTTAGGGAAACCACCAACAATTAAAACAAGTAATGATTGTATACCTACAGAACATACACTTTGTATGTATGCACACAAGTGATGTATGAACACCCCAAACTAAGCTTGTTAGGACAGTCATTAAAACTATGGACTGTGAATGATGAAGACTTGGGTTCACATTTAATTCATCTCAGTCAATATTTTCTTATCCACAGAAAATGTAGGCACAAAGTCCAGGATAAACCCTGAGAAATTGTCATGATTCCTTGACCCCATAATCCTATATATCTGTATTCAGAAGTCCCACTGTGTCCAATGGAGGCTACCCCATAATAAGTTTCTAGGATTGCAGTTCCTATTGCTTTTGTCTTGGAACGCTCAGTGTTACCCTGTGGGTTGAATCTATCTACAGTTAAATCTGAACTAGACCGATTAACATCAGTGGGACAAGTAAGCCACAATTAACCTACACTTTATTAATTTCAATGCATTTCCTCTAAGTATGACTAACTCCATCCAAGCCCACATCATATTTATCATTGAGCAGTTGCTGTTTTCTGCCATGTACAAAGCTGCCAGTAAACTGTAAGGCAGGTATTCGTGAATGCACGGTGTGAAAGTGAGAAGCAGCTGCTACAGAAAAGGCAAAGCTTGATAATTTTGTGAAGAGAGAATTGGTAACTGCTTGCTCCTTTTGTAGTTGTGGTCTGGTTCTGAAATTTTTAGTCATCAGATTGATGGAAGCAGAGATTTCTGTAAGGGGTAAAATGTATAGGTTCACTTGGGATACATCCTAGAGAACTTGCATTCACCACCATCCCATAAAAAACCAACTTGTAATTCCTACCAGTCCACTTAGATCCTCCTCTGAAGTCTGAAGTAAACAGTCACCACCACCATAAAAATGGAAAAGTGTGAATCACAATATTATGAAATGATGAGGAAATCATAGGAGGGTGAGTACCCGGAGGAGGACTTTCTCTGCAGTGGCGCCCCATCTATGGAATGTGCTCCCCAGAGAGGTCCGCCTGGCGCTGTCGTTATTTGTTTTTCAGCGCCAGGCTAAGACCTTTTTATTTAAAACTTATTTTAACTGTTAATTATGTATTAACTAGGGGTTTTTTTATTAGTTGAGCATGCACTGGGGGGGGGGTGTTATTTATTGTATGATTTAGTATTTATTTATTTTACTACTTTTGTATTTTTGTGTGTTGTGAGCTGCCCCAAGGCTTTGTTGTGATGGGGCGGCATAGAAATGTTTTAAATAAATAAATAATAAATAGCTGTTTTCAGTTTTGAAATTGAAAGAGCAACAATTTCATAGCTTTGCTTGCTGTGTTTTGTGAGAAAAGATTTTGGAGCTTCTTGCCCCCACTTAGTTGCTTTCTGTTGCAGTGTCATCATATTATAGAAGGCATTTAGCAGCTGCCAGTGCAACCGTGCGAACTTTTAAAATGAGCTTCATTCTGTGCAAAGTAAACCCAAAGCAAGCATGGCTACAACACAATAGCTACTTAAAGCTACACTACGGCACCCATTTGTTGTTGGATGTGCCATCAAAGTCATCTCCACCATATGTGCCCAATGAATAGTGTCTTGTACATTCACTTTTCACACACTGCATTGTTCTTATGGTCCATTGGTTTGTTTATTTTGTATCTCCTCTTGAGGGACCACCTCCTTTATTTGGTACTTTCAGAAGGGCATTCATTCAGTTTCATCATTGAAATGGATCAAGGCAATGGCTATACAGCCAGCACTCTTTCAAGCAGCATCCACCAAAATGGCTATTTGTGATGGAGTAGGAGTCGGTATAAACCTCCACAGTACTCTTTCAGATAATAATTCTTTTTCTAGCAATTTCTAGATTTTGGCTCTTTGGAGCCACAAAGTGAAAAGGACCATTAATACATTTATTGATTTCTGTAGCATTCAATAGCCAAAGCTCTTATGATTAAACCACCTACAAAACCTCAACATGTAAGGACATTCTGATCAATCTTATTTTCAAAATGTGTACTTTGTAAATCTTTTGCAATTGCTTCACTAGAACTTTTCACTTTATTATGACTCTCAATCTAATTGGTACCATACTATTTCCTTTCTTCTTGATTTTAACTTGGCTAGCCTTTTTTTTTGACTGCCAGATTTTTTTAATGTAGAAAAAAATGGCCAAGACATCCAGCAGTATGCTCTGAAGCACACAGAACAAGCTGCCATTTGCTGTGCATTGGAATTTCCCAAGACGTTCCTTGGAATGTTGCATCGAACACATTTTTACATGTTGCCCTTGAAGGCCTGTAGCAATAGAAGCATTTGCACCAGATTCTGCAAAAATGGTTAAAGAATTCCTTAGCTATTTGTATCAATATTACAAGGCAGACAAACAAGGACATGGATTACATAAGCAGGAATTTCCTAAAATTAAACTTCAAAGCCAATACTGCAAATTTCCATTAGATGTTCATATCACAGGCTGTAGTCCTGTTTAAATGGGAAATTCTGATTTAAGTGTAAAAGACCAAAATATAGTAAAAGTCAACAAGCAGGCAAGCAAAGCAGAAGAAAAACAAACAAAAGCAAATGGCTCAAGCAAACATCCCAGGAGGCATTCATGGTACCACTGTATTTACTGCAAGAGCAGCTGCATAGTGTCCAGTGCAGTGCCCAATACTAGATCATTCTGGCTTTGATAAGACCTAAATGGAGTTCATCCCAGCTGCAGGCCAGTCCCCTCATCCCACTACGCAATGTTGGATGGCAAAATGATAATGGATGAGAGGTGCTCAATTCCTACTCTGGCTCAGTCTTTTCCTTAAGAAGATCTATGACTTTCCTGATGAAGGGAAAGTACAAGCTGAAGGAGCAGAATGAAAGTCCAAGATTAATAGGATCAGTCAAGGATCATCTAATTGGGTGGAATGAGTTCAAATCTCCAGGGCCTGATAACTCCATCCTAGATTTACAAAGGAGCTGATGGAAGAACTCTCATTACCACTGTCTATTATCTTTGAGAAATCATGGAGGAAGGGGAAGTGCCAGATGACTGGAGAAGGGCTAATGTTGTCCTCATCTTCAAGAAAGGGAGAAAAGAAGAATCTGTTAACTATAGACCAGTCAGCCTGATATCAGTCTGGGAAAAAATCTGGAGCTGATTATAAAGCAGTCAGTCTCCAAACAGCTCAAAAACAATGCAGTGATTGCTAGAAACCAACATGAATTTCTCAAAAACAAATCCTGGTATCCTGATTAGCAAACTAGCTAAAAGGGTGCTGGATAGAACAACGATCAGGTGAATCCATGGTTGGCTACAGAATCGGACTCAAAGAGTGCTCATCAATGGCATCTTCTCAAACTGGGGAGAGGTGACAAGTGAGGTATCCTAGGATTTATTTATTTATTTAAAAATTTTGTATGCTGTCCGACTACTACTGTCTCAGGACAGTCTTTCAATAAAAACTGAATAAAATGAACCACAGCATACAATAATAAAATCATACATTAATACCTAATCAACTTTTAAAATAATGGTTTTATTTTAAGGTCATAAAAAGGTTTGAGCCTGGCACTGAAAAGAATACAAAGTTGGTGCCAGGCAAACCTCTTTGGGGAGTACATTGTGGTGTAATGGTTAAGAGCATGGGACTGGGACTCAGACAACCTG